CACCACAAATCAGAGTCAATGTGCCAGTTCTTCGATAAACGTGGTTACCCTGTTTCCGTCGTTCAAGCGGGTTACCACCGCGCTCAACTTATTGATCGACATTCAGCACTACAAACGTCGCATAAGGAAGATTCCGACCGCATTCCATTCACTCTCACGTTTCACCCTCACAACCACTCAGTTAAATCCATCATTCTTAAAAACTTTAAATTACTTCAAAACGATCCAGAGACAAGCACTATCTTTTCGCAGCCTCCGCTCATTTCATTCAAACGCGACAAAAACATAGGCAATTTTTTGGTCAGAAGTTCTTTTCAGACTAATGACCAACCAGGCACTTTTAAATGCGCTCGTGCACGATGCAAAACGTGTCCTTTCATTCACAACACTGATAAAATATCGGGACCTAAACGATCCATTAAGATCACCGATCACTTCACGTGCACCTCCGCCAATGTAATCTATTGCATAACTTGCACTTATTGCAAAAAGATATACATCGGCGAAACAGGCAGAAGACTAGGTGACCGATTCCGAGAACACCTTCGAGACGTGGAAAGGAATGACAAGGACACATCGAAACCAGTCGCTAGACATTTTAATTTACCTAATCATTCTAAGCAACATATGGCAATCTGCGGTCTTTCCTTACACTTAGGTAGCACGGAAAGCCGTAAAAATCTTGAACAAAAGCTCATCTTTCAAACCGGCAGTCTAAATCCCACAGGGATCAACGAACGCTTTTCATTCCACTAATTTATTCTTGTTTTTCTCGTTGCCATGTTCCCACCAATAACGTAGCTCCATTTTCTGCCTTTAAAAGCACACACAACCCACAATTCCTCTATTCGCTCCGACGAAGGGCTAACGCTGGAAACGTCAGCTTTTTTAATCGTTACGGTGGCCAATTTACCACTTCAACTTTGTTGATATATCCAAGTTATTTTCAGGAGAGCTTTGCGACGAAATTCGAGTGTTAAATGGTATGTGAAAATAGTCTTTCAAGGTCCCGTATGCCAGATAGTTACAAAATGCGAGAGATGCCGCAAGTATTAGTGTCCAGGAAAAACGCCTCATCAAGCTTTCAGAAAGCATAAAACGATCTCCATGCAAAGAAGTCTCGAGAAGGAAGCGTTTGAATGATTCAATTCTTCTACTTACATTTTTGTTAATTGCTTCATTAACACCAATTTCATTTTTAGCGGTCTTCTGAGCATCGGGACTGAGATGTTGATTAACGGCGTGAATTTTCGTGTTCCTAAACATCTCAAATGACATTTACGAAAACGATGCTCGTAATTTGATTTTTCAACAACATTATGACGTACAGTGTAGATTATTGGAAAGAGTATTTTGCATATAACAAATTATTATGGCATCGACTGGTCGAACGTGCTGTTTGTTTCTTGACATATGCTGATAAAATTATTGCTACCTTCAGAGACAGGTGGTCTTCTATATTAGATTTGTTTTCATTTTATTAATTCTAGTCAAAACGTCCCTTAATACCTAAATCCATGCCAGTTTTTACTTGAAAGCTATCAAGAGGGAAAATCACTTTCTAAAGCAAACATGACAGCAAAGATAGCTGAAATAACGCCACATCTTGGGACCAATATATAGCAAAATGCATTTACCACTCGATCTCAACATTGCTATAATCGGCTGTCAAGAGTAGGTGGGGGAGTTGTATACAAATTACCATTAGATAATACTGATAGAGGTAAAGTAAATCTCCTGTGAAATATTCTTTCTAAGTAGAAAATTACGAACTATGGACAGGTTTTCCATAACAAGGCAGTATGTTTTATTTTCTAGTTTGGAGGGACCTTTGTTTAAAACGTTTCTTTTGTAGTCATGTTTATTGTCTGTTTTGTAGAAAGAGGGGCTGACGACCTTGAAATCGCCGGCGAACTATCGAAAATTCATTATTGGTTTGAAAATCAGATTCAGCCACAGTAAACTGTTCAACTATGATTAGTCCTCTGATTATCAGAGCAACTGCATATTCTCTCACTTTATTTGTTTTTCCTTCAAGAAAATCACCGACGGAGACTGCGTGGGCCCATTTAAAAAACTGATACATACTTATATGAATTACTTGTATAATCGCCAATCAGAAAGCGCCCAGATTGATTGTCCTATAGGCAATTGTTGCAATTTAATTTCAGTATAGATGTTTTGTTCATGTTTCAAATGAGTTTTGTTCATCCCTGTAATAACCCACATAGGACTTTGGGAGAACACAAGAAACGTTTGTATAACCCCGAGTAGGAGGCAACTGACTTGTAAATTTTTTATTGTCCAAGTTTCGGAATTTAAAGCAGAGGCCCTACAGTCACCTTAGAACAGATATAAAAAGTCGTAAAAAAAAAAAAGGTGAAAAACAGAAACAATATTATAACAAGAGCCCAATATTAATACCTAAGCGTAATCACAGCGAAACAGAAACCAAACAAGAAAAAGAGTAGAACCGAACAAGAAAAAAAGTACAATCACGCATTTTATTCAAAACGATTTTTGTCACTTCTCTCCCAGGATAGTTAAATTAATTTTCAACTTCTTAATTAACTTTTTGTGAATTAAAAAGGGAGCAACATCCCAAACAATATTTACATTTTTTAAAACTTTAATTCTGTTTCCTTTGTATCCCACCGATCGACTAATGATCCCAACCCACTATGAGTTTACTACGGAACCAATAATGATAAGTGGTTTTTTTATTTTGTTTTGTTTTGTCCTGATAAGCAAAGTGCTGTTTATCAGCATTTTCATGCAAATTCTAACGAATTTGATTATGCACCCATGGTGATATCGTAGCTTTTGTATAATTTTAAGTGCTGAGGATTTCTTTGTCCACCTTCATAACATTCTACCCCTTAGTGTTGACAAAGGCTTATTTAATTGCTTTCTTTATTTGCATTCAAAAAAGTTTATTTTCGTGTTTCCTAGATTTTACGTGCATCCCTTGCAACGACCTTGGAATGGGAGAAAAGAGCACAACCTTTAAAAAAGAAGGTCTCAGTATCAAGATTACCACATTGCAGTATGTTGCAAGCAAATGAAAAATGTCATGTATTGTCAACAACACTCAATTTTTCTTGAACCCCATTAATAATTCACAATCCTCTCTAATAACTAGCATAAGATGTCATGTTCATGTAATTGAAATCAGCTCATGTTCTCTATTTGATCCGTCCGTGATACTTAGTTCGGAAAGTCGAGAGGAGGAAAATGTTATCGATTTTCGTGTTTTAAAAATATCAAAACAAAATGGCTTTTGTGCCTAGAGGTAACAAGATTCAAAATGCTGAAGAAACTACTCACACGATCACCTCGCTGAATGATAATATGGACAGAAACGCTAAGGACGACAGCCAACGTAAACCTGAAACGTTCAGATCCTTCGTAGAAGACACATCAATGCATGGAGCTCGTTTCTTGTTTGGCAACAATATCTTCCGAAGAGGATTTTGGACAGTTCTTTTGGTATTAAGCTCCGGTTATTGCATCTTTCAAATTTATGCAAGCGTCCAATTTTATTACCAGCGACCATTTAACATCAAAATTACGAAAATTATGCCCAAGCGCGAAACTAGTCTGCCTTTTCCCGCTGTTACACTCTGTAACTTGAATCTCTTCAACCTACGAAGATACCGGAGATACCAAATTGGAAAGAACTTAACCACAGAGACAATCGAGGGAAAGCGTTACGCAATCGCCAAGCTTTTAGCCCGCTCAGAGGACGTTTTTAACAACGAGACAAAGAAGGAGCACCTGGAGTTGTTCTGGCGATTTTATGGCGAAGTTCCTGAGGTTTTCTTTTTGAATCTCTTCAGTCATGAGATTGAAGAAATGCTCCTTCCAAGGACAATATTCAATTCCTGTTTGTACGACGAAACAGCATGCGGCCCTGAAAACTTTACCCAGTTTATAAGCTCCACGTATGGGCGATGTTATACTTTTAACTCTGGCAAGGATGGTCACCCTGTATTAAACGCCACAATGGCTGGGCAGCTGAACGGACTTAGGCTGTTGTTGAACATTGAAATAGAAAGTTATTTGGAGAATCCTCTCAACCCCTTTGCAGGGCTTACAGTTCTCATTCATGATCAGAACACATTTCCTTTCATGGAACAGTTTGGATTCGTCGTTCAACCAGGTGTTCGAACTCTCTGCTCCATAAAGAGGAAAAAGGTGAGACCATTGATTTTAAGATTGGTAAGTCATTCACAAACGTTGAGATCAAAAAGCGTAATCCATGAACGATGAGAGCCAAGAGCGTCATGGGAAATGTTTGCACAGTTGCATTAACAGTACAATAATTCACTTTTTTCATTTTTCATGTAAAATATTGTTTTATGATAATCTTTTCCCTTTTACCATACCATATTTGATTCAATTTTTCAACATTTCAACATCGTCAATGCCGTTCCAAAGGCTGGGTAATCAAATATGGAGCTGGTCGCTTATTTTACCAACACATCTTTGTTCTTTTTGTTGTTGAAATAAAAGAATCGAAAGACAGAGATATACAGAATGATTCCACAAGGTTTTTTTTCTTCCATTACAGCGGATTTCTTAAGATCACTCCCAGTTTTCTTCTTTTCAGATCCAAAACTTGGAACATCCGTACGCCACTAACTGTATCAAGAATGGAAAACTGGAAAAACTAGAAAGCATTAAAAATTCATATTCCAAGCCTGGCTGTTTAATGGAGTGCTTGGGGAAGTTCGTCATTGCAAAATGTGGTTGCCGACCTGTAGAATATAGAGGTGATATTTTAATGCGTGCTTCTGGTCATTTCATTCAACAATTTACTTCTATCCTAAAATTTTCATTATCACATTTAACGTTAAGGCGTGTATATCTATGTTTTTTTTTTACTTTGTCGCAGATTTACAGGTCCCTCTTTGTGCTCCCAATGATACAGTGCTGTGTCTGTTCCCAACATATAGTAAGTTGAAATTCAAATTGCATTTCAGACAGTGCCATCATCATTTTTGCAGTTACAACATTAATTTTCTGATCATTGCCAGTTGGTCGAACAATTGTCTTTCATCATTGGTCAATCAGGCTATTTGTTAGTATGTCAGTCGTTCAATCTGTCGGTCCGTTTGCAAATCTATCCGTCAGTCGTCCGGTAAACCAGAACTCAACTGGGACACCGATAATCGAACACAGTCAGTGACCGCTTCAGTCTGTCAGTCAGTCAGACTCATTGTTAGTCGATCATTCTGTCATTCTGCCAGTCAGTCAGTTAGTCAGTCCGATGGTCTGCCAGGAAGCCATTTGTCCAGTTATTCAGTCCCCCTCGTAGCTGGTCAATCAGCCGGCCAGTTGTTTCGTCCGACCGTTCCTACACTCAGAGGGTTACTGAGTCAGTTAGCTACTTAAAAAAAAAATCAACTGATGATTATGGATACAACTCTTGTAGTTTACAATTATTTCATTTTACTCTCTGGTTGAAGGAAAATACGGAAAATCAACATTCAAAGATAAATGTGAAGAGAGTTGTCGGGAACCTTGTCAACACACCGAGTACGAAACATCCCTGTCTTATGCCGGGCTGCACAGAAATGTCTTCGCAGATAAACTTAGCTCTCGTGTGAATTTGACAAAGAACTTTTCACTCTACGAACAATTCCTGAGTTTTTCAGACCGGGAGAAGAAGGAATATATAGAGTAAGTGGAGTATAATCTGACGTCATATGCCATTTAAGGCGATACCTCAAACTTAGGCTTCCTCTCATGTGTCTGCGGTTAGTTAGCGACTTCTCTTTGATATTCTGGCGAATACTCCACAGATAACTTCGAGAGCAAAGACACTTTCCCGATTTTTTGTACAGGTCAACCAACGTTCATCACTGGAAGAAGATGACCATAAATATTATTATTATTAATTATTACACGACTCGGGCAGTCAGTGGGCCAATAACTAAAATCAACCGATCAAAATGCTCTATTGCCGGTGAAGATTCTCTCAGTATTGGACCGGGCATTGTCCCGAATGGTTCCGAGTGATACCGCACTTGTGTCCCTTTGAACTTCAGTCGTATAATAAATCTCTTATTAACCAAGCTTGATCGGGACGGCCCTCGGTCTTTTTTGTACGGACCTCGCTGCGCTCGGTCCGTACTGTCAAGACCTCGGGCCGATATTCTCCCAGTCGGCCCTCGCGCTTGGTTAATAAGATGAATATATAGAGAGCTATTGGCCAGCCAAAGCTAATGGCGGTGGGGTTCAATAATTCGACTCTGTATCTTTTCACAGAGAAAACATCATTTCATTGGACATATTTTTCCATGACATGAGCTATGATGAAATAGAACAAACCAAGGCTTACGAGGCATGGACATTGCTTGGTGAGTTACGTCTTCGTTACGATTCCTAATTGAAGCTTCATTTAGTAAATTGTAACGTGAGCGACAACCACATTACATAAGAAGCGAAATGATGTCTTCTTTGCACCTGATCTAGATTTTTTTTTTTATCTGAGTCGATCGACGAATGAACGAACGAACGAATGAACGATCGAAGGAAAGAACGAATATACGAACGAATGCACGAACGAATGAACGAACGATCGAATGAACGAACGAATAAACGAACGAACGAAACGAACGAATGAACGAACGAACGCACGAATGAACGAACAAACGAATGGACGAACAAATGAATGAACGAACGAACGAATGAACGAACGAGCGAACGAATAAACGAACAAATGAACTCATGAATAAACGAATAAGCGAATGATTGAATGAACGAATGACCGAACGAATGAATGAACCAACGAAAGAATGGACGAACACTTTAACGAATGAATGAACGAATGAATGAGCGGATGAAAACTAATGAATGAGCGAAAAATAAAGGAATATATGAATGAAAAAAGGGCGAATGAAAAAATTAACAAATTGGCGAATGAATGAACGAAAAAAGAAATGCTTTACACAGTCAGAAGAAAGAAAAAGCAAGGAAGTTCTTTCAAGAAAGTCGCAAAGGTTTTTTTTTTATTATTAAAAACCGAAAGGAAAGATAGAGTCAAATCCATGAACATTCACCTGGTTTGACAAATTTTGGTCAAATCTACCATTTTCGTTACTACGTGCATTTCTGGACATGAGTGAATAAAAGATGTATGTATCTTCGTCCTACAATTAAAAAATAAGTTTTTATAGATATTCTCTCTTTTGTTTCGTAGCAAATTTGGGTGGAACTTTTGGTCTTTTCCTTGGAGCAAGTATGATCACCATCCTTGAAATATTGGAATTCATCATGAGAAAGATTTGGTCCAACATTTGCAACTAAACAAGCGAAAAAAGATAATTATAATTATGCTAAAAAGAAAAATTAAATAATAATAATAATAATAATAATAATAATAATAATAAGAATAATAAGAATAATTAAAAATAGTAAAACTTCAAATAGTAGTTTAAGAGTATTGTTCGATGTATAAGTGTTTTACAATAATAATAATACTTTTTTTCAAATTGTAATAACCTCTATTAATAGCAATAAAAATAATACCTATTTACGTGATAAATAATAATGATAATAATAATAATAATGATGAAATAAACAATTTTTAATATAAGAAAACACATCTGGAAAAAATATCTGGAAACTCGATTTTTCTCTAATAATAATAATAACAGTAATTATGTTTAATGCTTTTTAGCAGCCTTGTATATAGGGTTCTAGATTTGCCATTCACCTTTCTCTTTTCTGTGTAGTTTTAGACATGCTTTTACTTATCAGATTATTAGACTTTGAATCTGTTCAGATTTGACTCGTTATTTATAGTTTTCTAGACACTTTGACATTTAAAAAAAAAGGAGATGTGAGCCGAAAGTGAGTTATTTTGGATCGTTTTTTACGCTGTTAATATTTTGTATTGTAGAGGATTTTATGGAAATTATTGCTAAATAATAACAGTAATACTAATAATAACAATAATAATGGAAGAGATATATTTTATTCATAATTGAGTCCCCGTGACCAACAGGACCTCAGACCTTCGGATTCCCGTTGCCTCAAGACAAAAACCATCCTCCCTTATATTCATTAGCGAACTCAAAAGGTGGCAACTGAGAATTATTTTGTTCCAAGACCCTGATCATTGGAAATTAATGTCTAACCTCAAATCCTGCCCAACTGGAGTTACCTTTCATTATATAGTTTGTGTTTATATATCTATGAAGCGTATTCAACGAGGGAAAAGGTTTAAATATCTTTCCAACTCACGAGCACATGGCATTGCTTGACAACCTCACCACAAACGTAGGGGGAGACTGGAACCAATACTACTCAGTCTCTACAAATACACCACATCTCCCCCTTTCTTGGACCGAACTACAACGGAAATAACAACAAAGAACGGGGTCCGAGAACATAGTTCAAACAGTCCATGTAAAAATTCCAACATTAACTAGGAATGTCTGATGACAACAGTTAAATGTATGGAAGTCCCAGCATTACTTCAGATAGACTCTATTAGTCTATCCGGAGCTCTTCGCCCCCTGGAAGATCGGCGAAACGGGGTGGGGGCCGCTTCCACGGACTGGAAGGAGCCGTCCCTGGTGCCTCCGCTGTTACTGCCGGTGTTACGTCCTGCTTTTGATCCTGAGCTGAATCTGTTTCAGCTGATACACCTTCTTGGGCATCAGGTGGTACCTGGGGTTGTCCGGAAATATCCGACCTGACCGGAATAGCCCATGGAACCTCCAAGGACTGGTCCTGATACTCTCTCTCTCCACCTGGTTCTAATGCCGACCTGCCCATGCCGTCCCGTCTCACGTGATCGACGTGACGTTTCCACACTCTGCCGTCATTTAATACTACTATGTATGACTTGGGTCCA